ATACCAAGCTTCCAGGAATTCCCTCGCATTTTTGGATTTAGCTTGGTCTAAGATACTGACAATTTCCTAGTTGAAACTATGGTTAACTTTGTATATAAAAGAAATACTCTAATACAAACCTGACTTTCTTTATTTGATTATTTATATGATCAAAATCTTCCAAAAGGCAATCACATCAGTACTAGGTATTCTGAAAAGTTATTTCCAGAATAACAGAGAAGCTGAAAATGTCTAGGTTTCATATAGCAAACAGTTGTAGCCATCAAATATTATAATTTAAATGTACAGTTGTTAAAGAACTATGATTTTTGTCACTTGATGCAAACAATGAAATATGCTATAACAACAATTTGATTCTATGTGACATGCAAAGGAGTTTTCTTTTTTAAAAAATAGCAACAGACAATTCAAGATTTGCTTTTTTAATCTTTCTTTTTGTATGTTGGGCAAAAACATTTCCACAAGCAAACTATTTCATTACCCAACTACATATTCCTTTTAAAAAGAATTTCTCATAGCTGTCGCCTTGTCATTAAACTACGTAGTTAGGTGTCACCTTTCTTTGCGTATATACATTCAGACATGCAGGTGTTTTGGGAACAACCCTTCCTTTTAAGAGCAGTTTATTGCCAGAGACATTATTTGTTTAGACCCTTGGGGACCTTGCATAAACAATAAGCTTTCACTAGAAGGGTGCTAGACAGATGATCTATTTGCATTTCCTTTTATGTCCTTACAAATGTCTGTAAAACTGTCAGTTTGAGGGAGCCAGTTTATCAGTGAAAGGATAAGAGAGACAAGCCACTTTGGTTCTACTTGTTTGAAGTAGCTACCACAGTTACTTGCATGTGTGCTTTAGATGAAAACGTGGCTCTGAAAGAGCTCTCTTCCCCTAAATGCATAAAACCCATTTTAAAATGAAAACTCAGCTGGAAGTACATTTAATACATTTATCTAAATAAGTTTTATATGATGTAGTGCTTTGAAAACACTTGCAGAGCAACGCCTAATTGGCATTTTTGTACTTTCACCATGTTTAATCTAATTTATTCTTTTGGATTACTGTTTTTATCAGAGCTGAAGTTATAAGTCTTAAATGGCATTTTAATCTACAGAACCGTTTGATGTTTTTTTTACCCTAAAGAGTACAGTCTGAAATCTAAATGTGTTAAGAAATTGGAGGGACTGTTAATACTGGCTCATATACTGTATATAGCAAATGTAAAATTTGAGGTTGTGGATTTTCAGTTTTGTGTGGCATTTTCCATATTTTTTGCTTTAAGCTTTATCTTATTCAGTTAGTTGCACAATTGCACAGTTACTGACCAAGTAATTTTTTTTTACATGCACTACGTACAGTTTTTTTCTATCTGACTAGTTAATTAAATTTGGAGTGGGACTGCTGTATGGAATTGCTTCCTCTTTCTAAGGCAGGCATTAGCCTGAACAGATGTGCTGCACTGCTACTTACATTCTACTGATTTTAGCAGTTTGGAAAATGTGATTTGAAGTAGCTCGTGCTGCAATAAAACTTCATTTTATCTGGAACCATGCCAGGTTTTCCATCATAAACCAAGCTCTTCAGTTAGTTAGGGTAACCAAAAACTGTGTTGCTGACTCTGAATGTCCAACATCAGGAGCTGATATCTCAAATAACTTAATATTGTCCTGTTAGATTTATAGCTTGCCACATCCTGAAGGATCAGAGTTAGTAGCAACTTAAAAAGATGTTTAGCTTTCTTGCCTGTTTTTGGCTTCTGAAGTCTGTGATAATTGTAATTTCATTTTTTTTTCCAAATATAAATATTATAGAAAAAAGTTATAATTTTTACATGCATGCATACATATACATACATACATACATTATATAAAATTCCCTTCTTACCCCTATGGGTGGTATGTGTCTTCCTCAATCTTGGGTCCTCTACCAGAGGCTTGGGAGTTTGAGGGTTCTGCGCAGTATCTGAGCTGTTCCTAGCACTGCACTCCTCTGGACAGAGAGCTCTGATGTTGTTCCTGGGATCTGTTGGG